CCCCCACCACCAACACTGTCACTGCTCTAAAACCACCTTCACCACCATCATTGCTCTCCACCACACCACCACCAACACTATCACTGCTCTCAACACCTTCACCACCATCATTGTTTCTCACCACCACCACCACACCACCACACCACCCACCAACACTATCACTGCTCTCAACCCCTTTTCCCACATCATTGCTCTCACCCCCTCCACCACCACCAACACTATCACTGCTCTCAACCCCTTCACCACCATCATTGCTCTCCCACCACCACCACCACCAAACACTATCACTGCTCTCAACCCTTCACCACCATCATTGCTCTCACCACCACCCCCACCACCAACACACCACCAACACTATCACTGCTCTAAAACACCTTCACCACCATCATTGCTCTCACCACCTCCACCACCACCAACACATCACTGCTCTCAACACCTTCACCACCATCGTTGCTCTCACCACCACCACCACCACCAACACTATCACTGCTTCAACACCTTCACCACCATCATTGCTCTCACCCCCACCACCACCACCCCACCACCATCACCAACACTATCACTGCTCTCAACACCTTCACCCCCATCATTGCTCTCACCACCACCACCATCACCAACACAAACACTGCTCTAAACCCACCTTCACCACCATCATTGTTTCTCACCACCACCACCAACACCACCACCAACACTATCACTGCTCTCAACACCTTCACCACCATCATTGCTCTCACCACCTCCACCACCACCAACACTATCACTGCTCTCAACACCTTCACCACCATCATTGCTCTCACCACCACCACCACCACCACCCCACACCAACACTATCACTCCCTCTCACACCTTCACCACCATCATTGCTCTCACCACCACCACCACCACCAACACTATCACTGCTCTCAACACCTTCACCACCATCTTTGCTCTCCCCACCACCACCATCACCAACACTATCATGCTCTCAACACCTTCACCACCATCATTGCTCTCACCACCACCACCACCACCAAACCCAACCCCAACACTGTCACTGCTCTCAACACCTTCACCACCATCATTGCTCTCACCACCACCACCAACACCAACACCAACACCAACACTATCACTGTCTCAACACCTTCCCCACCATCATTGCTCTCACCACCACCACCAACACCAACACTGTCATGCTCTAAAACACCTTCCACCACCATCATTGCTCTCACCACCCCACCAACACCAACACTGTCATGCTCAACACCTTCACCACCATCATTGCTCTCCCCACCACCACCAACACCCCACTGTCACTGCTCTCAACACCTTCACCACCATCATTGCTCTCACACCACCCCCACCACCCACCAAACCAACCCACCTGTCACTGCTCTCAACCACCTTCACCACCACATTGCTCTCACACCACCACCAACACCAACACCAACACCAACACTTTCACTGCTCTCAACACCTTCACCACCATCATTGTTTCTCACCACCACCACCAACACCAACACCAACACCAACACTGTCACTGCTCTCAACACCTTCACCACCATCATTGCTCTCACCACCACCACCACCACCCCCCCCCAAACACCAACACTGTCACTGCTCTCAACACCTTCCCCACCATCATTGCTCTCACCACCCCCACCAACACCAACACCACACCAACACTATCACTGCTCCCCAACACCTTCACCACCATCATTGCTCTCACCACCCCCACCAACACCAACACTGTCACTGTTTCTCAACACCTTCACCACCATCATTGCTCTCACCACCACCACCACCACCCCCCAACACCAACCTGCCCATGCTCTCAACACCTTAAACCACCATCATTGCTCTCACCACCACCCCCAACACCAACACCAACACCAACACTGTCACTGCTCTCAACCCCTTACCACCATCATTGCTCTCACCACCCCCACCAACCCCAACACCAACACCAACACTGCACTGCTCTCAACACCTTCACCACCATCATTGCTCTCCCCACCACCCCACCACCACCACCAACACCAACACTGTCACTGCTTTCAACACCTTCACCACCATCATTGCTCTCACCACCACCACCAACACCAACACCAACACCAACACTATCACTGCTCTCAACACCTTCACCACCATCATTGCTCTCACCACCACCACCAACACCAACACTGTCACTGCTCTCAACACCTTCACCACCATCATTGCTCTCACCACCACCACCAACACCAACACTGTCACTGCTTTCAACACCTTCACCACCATCATTGCTCTCACCACCACCACCAACACCAACACCAACACCAACACCAACACTGTCACTGCTCTCAACACCAACATGAACATCTGGACGAGAACATATACTAAGGTAATTTGTCTGGCGCTCAGCAGACGGTGGATCAAGTCTCCGTCACGTCTTGCAATGAATAACCCGCATGGGTTTAGCGCTTAACAAGAATAAAAAAAAACAGAACAACATGTACACCATCACTGCTGTTAAGGTTCACAAGAGCAACAGTGAAGGACTAACCCTCGTGATGGCTGCAGCTCTTGGACCACCTCACTCATACCAGTGTCATTCACACCAGTATCACTCGCACCAGTGTCATTCACACCAGTATCACTCGCACCAGTGTCATTCACACCAGTATCACTCGCACCAGTGTCATTCACACCAGTATCACTCATACCAGTGTCATTCACACCAGTGCCACTCACACCAGTGTCACTCACACTAGTGCCATTCATACCAGTGTCACTCACACCAGTGTCATTCACACCAATGTCACATCAGTGTCATTCACACCAGTGTCAGTCGCACCAGTGCCACTCTCACCAGTGTCACTCACACTAGTGCCATTCATACCAGTGTCGCTCATACCAGTGTCATTCACACCAGTGTAACTCACACCAGTGCCACTCACACCAGTGTCACTCCCCACCAGTGTCACTCACACCGGTGTATCACCCAGTGTCCACTCACACCGGTGTCACTCACACCAGTGTCACTCACACCAGTGCAACTCACACCAGTGTCACTCACACCAGTGTCATTCACACCAGTCTCATTCACACAAGTGTCATTCACACCAGTGTCACTCACACCAGTGTCACTCACACCGGTGTCACTCACACCAGTGTCACTCACACCGGTGTCACTCACACCAGTGTCACTCACACCAGTGCAACTCACACCAGTGTCACTCACACCAGTGTCATTCACATTCTTGTCACACCAGTGTCATTCACACCAGTGTCACTCACACCAGTGTCATTCACATTCTTGTCACACCAGTGTCATTCACACCAGTGTCACTCACACCAGTGTCATTCACACCAGTGTCACTCACACCAGTGTCATTCACATTCTTGTCACACCAGTGTCATTCACACCAGTGTCACTCACACCAGTGTCATTCACACCAGTGTCACTCACACCAGTGTCAGTCACACCAGTGTCAGTCACACCAGTGCCACACCAGTGTCACACCAACGTCATTCACACCAGTGTCACTCACACCAGTGTCACTCACACTAGTGTCACTCACACCAGTGTCATTCACACTAGTGTCACACCAGTGTCATTCACACAAGTGTCACACCAGTGTCACACCAGAGTCATTCACACCAGTGTCACTCACACCAGTGTCACTCACACCAGTGTCGCTCACACCAGTGTCATTCACACCAGTGTCACACCAGTGTCATTCACACCAGTGTCACTCACTCCAGTGTCACTCACACCAGTGTCATTCACACCAGTGTCACTCACACCAGTGTCACTCACACCAGTGTCACTCACACCAGTGTCACTCACACCAGTGTCATTCACACCAGTTTCATTCACACAAGTGTCACTCACACCAGTGTCATTCACACCAGTGTCACTCACACAAGAGTCACTCACACCAGTGTCACTCACACCATTGTCATTCACACCAGTGTCATTCAGACCAGTGTCACTCACACCAGTGTCATTCACACCAGTGTCACTCACCAGTGTCACTCACCAGTGTCACTCACACTAGTATCATTCAAACCAGTGTCACTCACACTAGTGTCATTCACACCAGTGTCATTCAGACCAGTGTCACTCACACCAGTGTCATTCACACCAGTGTCACTCACCAGTGTCACTCACCAGTGTCACTCACACTAGTATCATTCAAACCAGTGTCACTCACACTAGTGTCACACAAGTGTCACTCACACCAGTGTCATTCACACCAGTGTCACTCACACCAGAGTCACTCACACCAGTGTCACTCACACCAGTGTCATTCACACCAGTGTCATTCAGACCAGTGTCACTCACACCAGTGTCACTCACACCAGTGTCATTCACACCAGTGTCATTCATACCAGTGCCATTCTCACCAGTGTCAGTCACACCAGTGTTATTCACACCAGTGTCACTCACACCAGCTTCACACCAGTGTCACTCACACCAATGCCACTCACACTAATGTCACTCACACCAGTTTCACACCAGTGTCACTCACACCATTGTCACTCACACCAGTGTCACTCACACTAGTATCATTTACATCAGTGTCACTCATACCAATGTCACTCACACCAGTGTCACACCAGTGTGACACCAGTTTCACTCACACCAGTGTCACTCATACCAGTGTCACTCACACCAGTGTCACTCACATCAGTGCCATTCACACCCGTGTCATTCACTCCAGTGTCACTCACTCCAGTGTCACTCCAGTGTCACTCACACCAGTGTCACTCACACCAGTGTCACTCACACCAGTGTCACACCAGTGTCACTCACATCAGTGTCATTCACACCAGTGTCACTCACACCAGTGTCACTCACTCCAGTGTTATTCACACCAGTGTCACTCAAGTGTCACTCACACCAGTGTCACTCCAGTGTCAGTCACACCAGTGTCACTCAAGTGTCACTCACACCAGTGTCACTCCAGTGTCACTCTCAGTACTCAGCACCAGGTACATAAACACTGAAAGATACGTAAGAACAACAGTGAAGGACTCACCCTTCTGGTGGTTGTAGCTCCTGGGCCACATTACAGGCATGACTCACTAAAGCATCACTCACATCAGTCAGCTTGAGCGTCACCCACTGTGTGCTGGGTAGTGACATCAACGCTGCTGGGGACACTTCTGCTGGTACACTCACTCCTGTACAAATACACTATTCTGTCAATTGCTGTGTGCACAGAGTATATTACATTTTATCAAGCATTTTTTACACAACTATTGGCATGCTCTCTCGACCAGTGAATTAACAATTCAGATTATAGCAGTTCTGGGGCCCCTTTATTGTCCAGTTTAATCCACCAATTAAGAGAGAGCACGCTTAAAGGCAGACTTTCGCCTACCTGTTTAAACCACTTATTGCTTTGAATGACTCTTGTTTATTTCATAATAATACTGCTAACTTGTTATGATAGCACTGTAAATATTGTAAATAAATAGTGAATTAATACATGGGCAAAGAAATCTACCCCTGCTGTGTTTGTCTTACCCTAATCTTACTCTCTCGATTGCTGTATATTGCTGACGTTTTTACGGCCAGGTGCTACAGGCCTTAAATGCTTCCTATTTCCTAATATGGAATTCTGTCTGGAAGCCTTTGTTTTCTCTGCATTGCGATGCAGTCCAGAGAAAACAATGCAGCTCACTCCACTCAGGTAATTTCTCATTCCTATGAAATCGGTCAAACAGAAGTCGGTGACACTGACTTGGCTGTAGTTATTAAGGTAATTACGTTATATTGAGAATGAGTGATTTGTGATCACTTTACCCAACCTCATCATTAACCTCTGTACAGTCCTCGCAGATAGTGGTGCCATATATATTATGTACATATTTCTTTTTCATATAATTTTTGGTGCTGATTTTCTTAATAGCTAAAATGAAAATCTAATGACTTATATTAGTTTATGCACGCAAGTAGACTGTAACAACTACACCTCTCATTGTGCTCATCGAATGAGAATTTCGATTGGCTGCCAATACTGCAAACTACCTGCCTGCTTGTTTCGTGGTTGGTGCCTGGCATAAGCTGGCACTAGTCACCCAACAATGTCTCTGCTAGGCATACCTTGCTCTCTCTTTCTCTCTCTCTCTCTCTCTCTCTCTCTCTCTCTCTCTTCCTCCAGTATTGTTCCTCACAGAGGAAACACCTCCTCACCATTTCTCTGTTTGGGAGAATGCTGTTTTCTTCAACTCATGTTATTTAGACTCTTGTTTTCGGTAGAGTATGTCTCCATTGGTGAGCCAAGACCAGCTTCTCATAATACTGTGCAGCTCAGTTTACAGAGCATTATTTAGACTTAGTGATATTTGATGTTTTCAAAGGTTGTGTGTCGTGAGACACTCTATATCTCCCGTCCCGAGTTCAACTCTCAACCTACATTGTTCTGGCCTCTGCGCACTGTTGTAGTCAGAAATTCGAATTGCTGATCTCAATTTCAATTATATGGGAGTTTTATACCTTTTAGGGAGGATGTGCCATGCAATATGGACAGTATGACAATACATTTACAGAACAGCAATATTGCTCAAAATAGGAGTAAACAGCACAGCGTCAGGCAAGGAATCAAGGAGACCAAAATGACCCTAAGTGGGGACCCGGAGTATACCTGGAGAGGGTTTCGGGAGTCAACACCCCTGCAGCCCAGTCAGTGACCAGGCCTTGGATCAGGGCCTGATCAGCCAGACTGTTACTGTTAGCCACACATAAACCGACATACGAACCACAGCCCAGCTGGTCAGGTACTGACTTTAGGTGCCTGTCCAGACCTCCCTGGTGCCTTGACATGGTAGAACCTCTCCAGGCAGTACAGGTTCCAAACAAGGCCAATATCATCAAAGTACCACACTTGGCTCTACTCTAAGGATAGCGAGATGCGATATTCTACACCACAAGACGGGCAGCATGCAGCAGCTTCACTCTGGCAGTAGGTACATCTGAGATCATTTATTCCTACGATGACTTGAGTCTGGAACATGTTCGTAGAACATAATGATATCAGCGAAATAAATTCAGTTGATCAACTGAAATTGCTGGCCCACAGATGGCTCCAACTTCATCTTGTTCCCCTACTTGTATGTCTTATAACAATAAAATGGCTCTCAAATGAGCTGCTGTAGGAAACAACTCTTAGCTTGTAAATAAAGTTAGGAACCCTTACCCTAACCTTGTCAAACTGTGTAAAAAAAAAAATCTGACGCTTCTCGCCACAATTTGAACATCTAGATTCTGTAGCTTCACTTTTCTTAAATTTATCAAAGCAATCCTTGGTTGGGTGAGACTCGTGCAAATGCCGCATACTTCTTTAAACTGCCAAACAGCGCTAAGGTGGTTGTACCTCTGGCACCTGAAACACCTTGAAGGTTCTGGGTTGTACATCTTAACCTTGGTATGTCCCCCAGCAACCCAGATCCATTTGTGCTGCGAGACGTCCTCTATGCTGGATCAGGACCTGCCTCATAGGCACGTTGCCGTCCTACTTGGCTTAGAGCCACTCAACTTTCAGAATGTTTTTGTTGCCATTGATTGCATCGAGAGGCTTGTCTATCAGATAGCACATTAGAACGCCTTTTGTTACCGGCTCTGTGGATTTTAGTTCTGTGAGAACAAGTGGTAATTCAAGGTCGTTCACCTTCTACAGTACCCCAGAATTCTTTGTTGCGGGGAGTGAGAATAAACTCTCCTTTTTAAATTTGGGGACACTGATATCTTCAGATCATATTTTCACTCCAGGGAAATTATAGGAGCATACGCGGTGTCATGGTGTCCTCTGTTGATGAGTCTGAATTTGTTGCTTATGGATATTTTAGCTTGACCAGTTAGCGAAGAAACACTATGCCTCCCCTTGGACTTTGAAGATATAACTTCCTGCCAACCTTTGCCATACGGTATTTCTGTGGTAGGGAAGGGTATTTCTTCACACCAATCTCGCTGGCAAGGCTGATTTCACTTGTATCACTGTCCCAAGAGCCCAGGGAGTCCAGCGAGTGGTCTTGAGGGGCGTGGCAAATTAATTTTGGGTGTGATTTATAGGCCCCCAAACCTTGATAGGGAGGGCAGTAAGCTGTATTGGGATGAAATTTATAAGGCATCTAGATATGAAAATGTTGTGATAATGGGAGATTTTAACTTTAGACAAGTTGATTGGAACAATATGACAGGAAATCTTGAGTCTAGTGACTTTCTTGATACGGTTCAGGATTGCTTTTTAGAACAGGTTGTGACAGAACCAACTAGAGGAAACAATCTGCTTGACTTGGTTCTTGCCAACAAAGATTCACTAATTAATAATCTTTAGGTTAATGATGAGCTTGGGGAAAGTGATCACAAATCACTTAGTTTCAATATATCATGGAATTACCCAGATAACTGCAATCAAATCTCTGTCCCAGATTCTCACTTGGCCGACTTCATGGGACTGAAAAATTACCTGGGTGGGCTAAACTGGGATGTCCTGACTATGGGTCAGGTAGGTGATCTTGGTTGCCAATATGACGTTTTCCAGAGCATAGTTCTAGCTGCCCAGACGACTTTTGTTCCGAGTAGGGAAATTAGATCTAACAAAAATGATCCCAAATGGATGAACAATAGATTAAAACATCTCATTGGTCAAAAGAGAGGTATATATAGGCGTATCAAAAGAGGGGATGGGCAGTTAAGAAATCAATATATTAAAGAGAGAAATAAAGAAAGTAATAAGAAAAACAAAGAGATTATGAGGCTAAGGTCGCAAGGGATTCAAAGACTAACCCAAAAGGGTTCTTTCAGGAATACAGAAGTAAGATTAGGGACAAGATTGGCCCACTTAACAGTAACTCTGGTCAGATCACTGACAGTGATAAGGATGTGTGAAATTCTCAATACCTACTTCCTCTCAGTTTTCACCCAGGAAAATACTAGCGATATTCCTGAAATAATAGATTATGTAGAACAGGATAATAAACTATGTACGATTGTGGTAACTAGTGACATGGTCTTCAGAAAAATAGAGAAACTAAAACCTAATAAATCCCCAGGCCCTGATGAACTGTTTGCAAGGGTGTTAAAGGAATGTAAAGAGGAACTTAGCATACCTTTGGCTAATCTTTTTAACATATCACTACAAACTGGCATAGTGCCTGATAAGTGGAAAATGGCAAATGTAATACCTATTTACAAGGCAGGTGACAGGTCCTTGGCCTCGAACTATAGACCAATAAGTCTTACCTCCGTAGTGGGAAAATTTATGGAATCAATAATTGCCGAAGCAATTCGTAGCCATCTTGACAGGCACAGATTGAGTAATGAATCTCAACACGGTTTTACAAAGGGGCGTTCCTGTCTTACGAATTTACTAACTTTTTTCACTAAGGTGTATTAGAGATTTTGCCACCGAAGTGGCTAGTTTATTGTGCACCCCATATCCATCCTGTGGACGGTAGCGCGAGAGCATATGGATACACAAAAGGCCTAGGAACTAGGCCCCAAAGGGTTAACAGGAATACATATGGATTTATATCTACATATCTATAGTTCACTTATCTGTTACAAGCAAATTTAGGAAATTTGCTTAGTATATCTGGTATCTTATTTTCATTAATAAGATATCTTGACATGTCACATAGGTTATTATACTGTCTGTCTCTGTATTCCTCAATAAGTGGACAATTAAGCACATAGTGTTCAAGAGAGTGACCATATGCCTGATCACATAATTTACATTTAGTTTGATCATCATCTGTGTGTCTCCCAAACTGCCAGAAGTACTTGTAACCAAGCCTAAGCCTGGCCACTACAACATCAGTCAGTCTGTTCACATTGCAAGTTGCTCCATAAACATACTTATCTACGTTCATGTTATCATAGTGGGTTATAGATCTACTCAGGCTTCTAACTGCATTCCTATAACAATCATTTTCATTATTTACTTCTCTCCTAATATTATTCCTAATGCTAGACACAGTTATACCAAAGTTATATTCTACGTTCTCCTTCTCGATACTCTTCTTGGCTAACATATCAACTTTATCATGAAGGAGTAATCCAATGTGTGATGGGATCCATAGCAATTGTACATTAATTCCTTTGTCCCTAATTTTTGAGTATCTATACCTGGCTTCCCCAATGAGCATGTTGTTGGAGTCATTATATGAGTCAAGAGCCT